CTATCTGTCTGTCTGTCTGTCTCTCTGTCTCTGTCTCTGTCTCTCTCTCTCTATATATACTTATATATATATATATATGCATGAAATAAATTGCAATGGTTTCTGAAGCATGGAGAATTCAGTATTTCTTGGCTATATTGTGTCTGTCTTAGTAATTACAGTCTGGTATCCCTCATTCTTTTGATGTCCCTTCAAATTAAACCAATGACAAAGGAAAAACAAGGCTAAATTTAGCATCCCTTTTCCTGTTGCTATGGACTGGCACAAAGTTGCTTTTCTGCCCAATAGATAAATAATCTGAATATTTGTTTTCTCCTAGCCTGTTTATATGGAGAATTTAAGATATAAGTGCTCAAGCATAGTTGCAAAGTTAGATCTCTAACTTTAGTCTGCTACTTAAAAATGTATTCTTTGACTAAACTTTATTTGGATTAGGTAGTGTCTCTAGATATGAGATGAATAAACTAAAAGGAAAAATCTAAGATCTGATCATATTTTGTAAGGAGGGCAGAAAGCTTTCAGCAGATTGCAATTTAATGTGATGCTTTGAGATAGTCATACAACTAGGCATATGAATATATAGGCAAAGTTATATGTCTAATTGATTATTGCATATGAAATGTCTCAAATAATTTACTTATAATTTTTTTTCTTGGATTCACTCATAATCTTATAAACCAACCAAAGATCTTTTTATACAAGCATTAACACAATGTCTAGGAAATAGTTATCTGGATACTCCCTAAGTATGCAAATATTCAAAGTACAAGCGTGTTCAAGGAAGCATTGTTGATAATAGCATCAAACAACTGGCAAGAAGCAGAATTTCATCAATCAGATACTGCAAAAATAAATTATACAATAGCCATGCTATAGTATAGGAAAAAAGTATAGTTCAATACAGTGAATTTAAAATGTCTAAATTTAGATAAATAAACACATATAAATACATATGCCTGAGTATGCTAAAATATATACACATTCAAGGACACATATGCATGTTTGTTTATATATTTATAAATATTTTGTCTATTTGTGGCATATCTCTGGAGGGATACACAGGAAGCCATTAGCAATGTTTAGCTTTGGTCATAGCATTACGGATAGAGCAGGAAACAGAGAATATGTGAAAAAGTAGGAAAGAGACATACTTTTATTCTATATTTCTTTGAAGCTTTTAGGTTTGGTTCCATTAGCACATGCTATCTCTAGAACGAAACCAAACCAAAACATAAGAAAGGTGTAAAAATAAAACAACAACCTGGCAAAATAGAGATACCCAAGATTTTAAAGTCTCATGAGTCTTTGTTAGAGTAAACATGACCCTGCTATCTTAAGGAAATGGGAAATGGTTTCCGTAATGCCACTGAGTAAAGTGACATGAATTGCAAACAGGACAACTCAGTGTTCTTGGCCCAGGGGGGAGTTGGTAAGTTGTTTGCTTTAAAACAAAATAAGCAAAATATTTAGTTACTCCATTCCCACCATGTACTGAATAATTTCTTTGTCAAAGGAAAGAGGAAACTGAGGAAATAGAATCAAGTCTGTTAGTTATATAGTCTGTATACACTGTGCAAGGGCTTTCATAAAGAGCGGAGAGATTATCCAGCTGCTTGAGGATTTGCAACGTGTGTTCCACTCAGTCAGCTGTCTTTCCACCACTTCCATCGTACTTTTTTTTTAACCAAAAAAATATAGTAACTATACTGGAAAAACAGACTATGTTTTCAGGTCCCTTCTATCTTATTTACCCTAAGCAATGAAAAACTGTGTAGAGTGTGCAAGATTTCTGAGAAAGACACCACTTTAAGCTTCCTCCATATATTAATTCATTTGATCTTTCCAGTTTGCAAAGAAAGGTACTGTTATTGCTACTGTCATGTCTGATAAGAAAACTTACCTAATGCAGCTTGGTCACTTTAGCTTCTCTAAAATATCTTCAAACTTTTTCTAAAGTGTTTACAGCCTGAGACAATAAAATAACTTTCCAAAATAAAGGGCTTTTATTTTAAGAGTTAATACATGATGCAAATGTAAACAAAAATTCTAGCATGCCTAACCCAATGACTCAAAATTAATAATTAATTTATTATCCTTATAAGCTATGTGAACATAAACATAATGTCAGATTCTATCCTGTAATACTATAAAATCTGAACCATTCAAGTATTAGTATTCCTTAAAATAATTCAAGCAAATTTGACTAATAAGATTGGGCTAACAGTAGTCCAATCTAATACATAATGTTTAAAAATAGATTTTTCAGCTTGAAAAATGTTTGGCACACAACATCTTATAAATGGGAAAATGTAGGCTAGTAAAGTGGCAACCTCTGACCACAAAGTAACCTATTAAAAGAAACTTACCTAGAATTCAGAAGTTACTACAATTTTCCCTGCGGTCCCACCACAAACCATGAAAAATGTGTGGTGCACCATCTGAAATACATTAAACTTCACTGACACTTTAAATAGTTTTCCTAAACCACGAGCCATACAGAAATCTAATTAATTTACTCACTGTGCATCAGCCACAATCAAATTTACTAAGACTGGAAGAACAGACTGAGCACACACCGATCTCCTTTAAGTTGAGTGAAATCTTATTTACCACTTTGTTTAATGATGTTGCAAAAGCAGGAAATCCATCTAAGCATGTGTGATAGTTGGCCATTTCTCTGCATTTGAATAAATTGTAGTCATTGGATTTACTCTGTTTCTAGACATTGTTTCTTCAACTTTGGTACTTTCATTTGTAATAAAAGATCAAAACTTGCTTTCCTAAGCTTTGACCTAATTATTCAGGTTCTGTCAAGAAAAAGCTACTGTTTGTTTCCCTCAGTGCCCTTCTGATATAGAACCTAACACCTCCCTAAATTCCCACTTCCCATTGGATGGCTGATGTTCCTGTGGAAGCAGGTCTTAAGAAAGTGGTTACTGTCTCCCAAGGCAGACAGAAAATTACAGATTTCATTGTAACCACAGTCACTTCTATACAGTTCCTCATGCAATCAAGGTAGTATTCTGTTCCCCTGTTTGATTGCTACTTAGTTTACTCTGAACTAAAATTTCGACTCATTTACATTAAATTTCATCAGATAACAACTCTCTCATTCTAGTAGGTAACCTATCTGTTCAGCTTTATCACATTGACTCTACCTGTCATGTCAATGCAGGCAGCTTGCAGTGCTCACTAACCTTTTGGCTGTGTCTCATCTGAAGATTTCCTGCCTTTCCATCCAAGTTGTTCATCAGAAACTCTGAATAGGCCAGGGTAGACAAAGACCTTCTGCACCTCAATCTAAGCACCTGTACAACAACCCATGTGCCAAAATGGTAGCTTCAATTGATACACTCCTAAAGCATTCTGTTACCACAAAATTTATCTTAAATTCAGCAGATATGTTTTATGTTATATGGCTAAGTTAAAAAATCCTTCTTGATAGGAGATGCTCAAAGAGCTCTAAAACGCTATTTCTATGGGCAAGGACTATTAGGCCTCTAAGTACATTCAGAAACAAACTTTGGAGGGAGTTATTGTTTAGTTAGGCTTATACAGTGAGTGGCAGAGCCAGAATTTAAACTCAACTCTTAGACTCTGCTTGTTCTAATTAGTTCTGTTGACTGTATAGCACAGCTCCCCTTCTCTTCAGCATCCACCCTTATAATAATACACCTCTCTTGAGCCTGTGTGGTATACTACCTCATTCTCTTTCTACTTATACCACTTTCAGTCTTGTTAAATCAAATACCACGTCATCATCATCATTATCATCAACAACAACAATAAAAAATGTGCAAGTGGTTGAATTCATCTGTATACATGAACCAGTTTACATCCACACTGAGAAAGCCACATGAGATTATGTCAATCACAATGTGATACAACTAAGACATTTAATTCATTCCTTTGTCCAGGCCATCCTATCTCCAACTCACAACCAACAGGAATGTCATTCCAAAATTTACATCATTCCCTTTCTTAAGTGAATTTTATTCTTTTTTATCCCTTTTGATGCTTACTTTTTATTAAAAAATTTTTATTAATAAATTTTTATTGTAAAAATACCATACAGAGGGGTTACAATTACATGAGCAAGGTAAATGAGTAATTTCTTATCAAGCATTGTTGCCTCCTCCTTTGTTTCCCCTTATTATCCCTGCTCTCTCTTCCCCCTTCCCCCCTAAAGTTGTAAAGTTCATTTTTCAACATAATGTCTTGTACATCTCATTGTTGCAATGGGTCCACCTGTATCCCTATTTAAACAATTTGTTTTTTCCACAAATTATACCAACATCAAATACACTGAAAACAGGGGTTATACCATGGGGGAGGGACGTACAAAGCAACGATGAAATCATCTTATAAATATGTTAGAAACAATAGCAAGAAAGAAAAACCATTTGAGTCCTTATCTTGGGGTTCATTTCACCTAACATCAACTTGTCTGACCATTTCTGCTTGTCTCAGACATATACTAGTTATTGCAAATAAGGGAAACCATGGGACCTATGTTTCTTTGGGCCTGGCTTACATCACTTAATATAATTTTTTCCAAGTCTTTCCATTTCCTAACAAATGGGGCAATGCCATTCTTTCTGATGGAGGCATAGAATTCCATTGTGTATATATACCACATTTTCTTGATCCATTCATCTATTGAGGGGCATCTGGGTTGGTTCCATATCTTAGCTGTGGTAAACAATGCTGCAATTCTGGGCTTGGGCTGAATTTTATTCTTTCCTCTAGATAAAAACTCAAGTTTTACACCATACCTAATAGGGTCCACATTGCAATCTTCATCTCCTGTCCCTCTCATGTTTACAATCCTACTTTGCTATCTAATATGGAATTGTTTATAGAGATTTTCTTATGTCTATAGTCTGGGTGTTGGTTATGTGGAATAATTCAGTTTTAGCATAAAGAATATCCGATGCTGAAGCCTCCCCACCTACATCATAGAAGGGTATTAGAGGATGAAGGAGGGACCTAGTACCAACCTGAATGAGCATCCAGCTGAACTGGCAAAGATACAGGTAATGTGTGACAGCAGCTATGGCTGCGCAGCTCTCCTCGGTGAGTTGGGGACTTGCATATGCAGATGCCAGGAACACAATCTGGAAGAAAAGCAGATATTTCTATGTTTAAATCATGCTAAAATTGATGCAGAATATTGTGGAGAGGCGCTGCTTTCTTCATTCACATGGAAAATAAGTTGATGTGTTGGCTACACTCATATGATTAATAAGACAAATACTTTTTTGTTTTGGTCTTTTTTCATTTATCTTACTTTGGGAAGATAAGGGGGGTACAGAAATGGAGTGACCAAAATGTGAACAAATACAGCAGTGGTACTCACTAGGCACTATGTTGAAAATGAACTATACAACTTGTGGGTGAGGAAAGGGAGGGAAAAACTGGGAGAGAAAGAGGGGAGGGATGATATTGTCCAAAAAGAAATGCACTCTTTACCTGACTAAGATAACTGTAACCCCTCTGTACATCATCTTTATAATGACTATTTTAAAAACTCTAAGGAAAATAATTGATTAATTCTGAGATTGACAAAATTTATAAGATTTTGTGTTTCTAAGGAACTCTGAATAATGCTGTTGCTCTCTAATTCTTAGGAGGAAATCTTCAAAGTAAACTGCATTGTTCTCACTGATAGACAATCCCAGAATATCCATTCATTTTAACTGAGTATAAAATAGGAAATAGACTTGAAAATAAAATTCTTAGTGTGGGTCAAAGCTGATTGAAAGAGAAGAATGAGAAGCAGAATCTTTGGCTTTACATCTGCAGTCTTTGCCAGAAAACAACATGTATAACAGAACATAAAGTAAGTTTGAATTGTCAAATTCTGGCATTACCTAAATATCTGTATTTTTATTTCAACCAACCTCTAGCCTTTGCTCAGAAGTAATTCTCACAGTGGAGTCTCTTTTGATGACATCTTTTTGTTTTCATTGTCAAGGAGTTACAGTTACGGAAGTAAGGTAATAAGTACATTTCTTGACAAAGGACAATATGTTGGAAATGATCAGTACAACTGTGGGGGGGTGGGAGGAAGGAAAGTGGGGAAAAATGAGGGCAGGGGTAACAAGTTTGTCAAATACTATTTCTGTATTAATATTATCAAAGTATTTTTCTACTTCAATTTGCTTATATTGTAAGTTTATTAATTGTGGAATGTTAAGTATAGGATAGCTACTGCACTTTTGTAATACAAAATCATTTTTATTTGCTAAAACTGCATTAAAATTTTTTTCCATTGGCCATATGAATGTAATTCTAGCTATTCAGAAGGGGGAAATAAGAGGATTGTCACTTGAAGCCAGCCCAGGCAAAAGTTAACATAAGACTTATCTTAGAAACAGCTGAGTATGGTAGCATATTACCCAAACTATTTGGGAGGCAGGAGGCAGAGGTAGAAGTAACTTGGTTCAAAGCCAAGTTACCATGAAACCCCTATCTTGACAAACCAACTACATCAAAAGGACTGGAGGCAGGCATCAAGTAATAGAACACTTGCCTAGCAAATGGGAGGACCTAAGTTCAATTCTCAGTACCCCCTCCCACATACACACACAAAGAAAATTTGTTTCTTTGGTGATGAGGGGTATGCAAAGTGTGTTGCTTCTCACAGTGTGTTACCTGCCAACACCACACTTTAATATTGCTTCTTTTCCCTTAGTTATTCTTTCTTGGTTTACAAGTACAATTCTTACAAACCTCACTATACATTGCTATCATTTGTTTCAGAGTTAATGTCCCTTAAAATATACTTAGATAATAAGAAAAAATTTCTTATTACTCTCTTGTTTATCTGTTTTCCGATGTTCTTTGTGGATTTTTATAGGAACATATTTCCATCTGGAACCATTTTCCTACTGCCTGAATGACTTTATTGCTAGCCATAACTTCTTTGGGCTTGTATATTTGATGACATCTTTATTTAACCTTCATTGGAAAAGCATTGAAGAGACTTAAAATAACTTTTCTCTGGGAGCTTAAACATGTTGCTGCAGTACCTCCTCATTTGCATTATTTTTGACAAAAAGACATCTGCTGTAACTCTTATCTTCCTTCCCATGAATGAAATATGGTTAGTTTTATTTTGTTCTGATTTTAGAGTTGTTGCTTGTAGGATTTTCTCCTGTATCACTAGTTCTGACCAATTTTATCTGTGTGCCTTGGAATAGTGTCTTCATACTGAAGTTCAAAGACTGATGTCTACTCTCATACATTTTTCTATTTCTTCTCTCAATTTCGATGTCCTTTGCATACCATCTAGGCTTAAATTAGAAATATAGTGGGCATTTGAGGGGCACCAAGCTTCATAAATCTGTGCGCTTATAGTTTCAATTTGAAAAAATATAATTAATTTTTTCAGATAGTTTTTCATCTACATTATCTTTGACCTCAATTACATATCTATTAACCTCTTTCACCCTGTGCCATTCCTATAGCTCAGTAATGCTCTGTGGATGTGATTTTTCTCTTCTTTTAGATTTTCATTTTGGAAAGTTACATTGATGTCCTTTCTAGTTTGCTAATTTTTCTCCCATTGTCCTTAATCTGCTTTAATCTCCAGTGTATTTCTCGTCTCACACAATGGGTTTCATGTAAAAATTGAATTGATATTATCTATGTATTTACATATTTTTCTTCTTTTTGGTGTTTTTGGGACTTGAATTCAGGGCTTGGGCACCATTCCTGAGCATTTTTGCTTAAGGCTAGCACTCTAACACTTGACCCACAGCTCCATTTCTAGCTTTTAGGTAATTAATTAGAGATGAGAGTCTCACTGACTTTCCTGCACAGGCTGGTTGTAAACCACAATCCTCAGATCTCAGCTTCCTGAGTAGATAGGATGCCACATATGAGCCACCAGTTCCAGGTTAGCATCTTTTTAAATATTTGGAACTCAGCTATAATAATTATTTTAAATCCCTTTTAAAAACATTCAGTGTTGTTAATTTATTGATTAGTATCCTAATTCTGTATCATATTTCCCTTTGTTTCTTTATATATTTTTATTGTAAAGATACTGTACAGAGGGGTTACAGTTACATGAGCAAGGTAATGAGTCCATTTCCTTTATTTTTCCCCTACCAGCCCTTTCCTCCCCACCTCCCCAATTCCTCCCTTCCCTCCAGCCCCTCCCCTGCCGAAGTTGTAAAGTTCATTTTCAACATAGTGTCTTATACATCTCATTATTATAAAGGGTCATCTTGAATCCTTATTTCAACATTTTGTTATTTCCCTTCCCCTCTCAAAATTAGAAAAATGTATATACAAGATGCAGGACACCAGAATCAGATACAGCAGGGATTGTACCATGGGGGAAGAACTTACAAAGAAACAACAACAAAATATAGTACATTATAAGTACAACAAAAAGAACAGCAACAAAGATAAAACGTCTTGTGTCCCTATCTTGGGGTTCATTTAGTTTAACATCAGGTTATATGGTTATTTCCCTCTTTTGTCAGGCATGTTTGAATAAAAGACATTTCTTTTTGAGTGTTGGATACTTGTACTCCTATATTTTGTAGCTTGGTCTAGGATGTATCTGGAAGCTGTTTGAAGTTTTTAATCTTGCTGTTAAAAATTTCTTAGGCCAAAAAAAAAAGTTTCTTGGGCAGAAGTATAGTGTTCACTCTAAGGCTCATTTTCCCCCAATGAAGGCAAAACATCTCTATATTCTCTATCCAAATTGTGTGAATCTTGAGTTTCTTTTTATGTAACACATATGAGTATGTACTCCTCTTGGCATTGTACCTGGGATGCTTCCCTCTTTCTTCTAGATACCCTCCAGCTTCCAGTGCTTTCTATGCACATGGGTTGATGTATACTCAGCTGAAGTGGGGGGGGGGGCGCGGGTTCTGCTAACCTCCAGCAACTTCTCTGTGTTCAGTTTTCTTTCCCCTGCAAACTCTTTAGCCATCTGGACTCTCCCCTTATCTGCTTTAGTTTCTTCAGTGTGCCAGCTTTTTCCTGTGCCACAGCCAGGAAAGTCTTACAAAACAGTTTTCCGGGGAAGTTGTTAAAGTCCACCTTGTTTATGTCTTAAATGTCTTATTAGTGTTCTATGTCTGATGTGTAGTGTCATATGTGTTTCTATTTCTTGTTTCAATTTGGACGTCCTTTTTCTTATATCTAGGCTTAAAGTAGGAATATAGTGGGTATTTAATATGTTTTGGATACTGCTACTATTATTTGATATCTTTATCTATACTTTTACCACCTTCATGGTGCTCTGTTTAGAGCAAAAATCATCCTCATGATGACCTGGCGTGTTCTGTGTATGCATGTTCTAAGTCAGGTGACTTTTCTTTTCTTTTCTTTTCTTTTCTTGTGCAGGTGACTTTTCTTGACCACAAAAGCTTCCTCCTATTTTCTTTCAAAATTAGTGGACAGGTTATTTTAAATATTAGTTTTGATGAGAAAAAGCACAATTTTTAAGTAAAAATAAACCCACAAAAAGTTTACAGCTAAGTTAGCTTGGTTCCTTACAAATCATCTATGCCTACAATATCTCTTTTGGTAGAAAATTGTGAGTAACTGACACTGAAGACCAAGGGAGCTTCTTCACATGCTGGTGTGTGACCAGCGTCATGCTGCAGTGAGCCCGGCATTCACCAGTGTCAGGACTTCTCCTCATATGAATGCAGTCTGCAGTGACACACACCTTTTTGTTTAAACTTTTCATCAACATTTTCTCTGAGCAACTTTTAAACTTTCTTCAAGTAGAAACACTAAAAGCTAGCTGAGGACCTTTAACAATATATTAAATATAAAAGATCACAATAAAAAATAAAAACTTACTTGGAGAACAAAATAAAAAAAATCAATAGAACTTAGTGATGATACCTATATTTCCCTACGAAATTCAACAGAAGACAGAAGTGGAAACATAATGCTTAAGTAAAGGCTACCAGTTGTATTTATTTTTTCCTACTTAACTGCTCAGTAGGGACTGCCTGGAGCATGTTCCGATGAACAAAGCCCTTGGAAAGATGCCATGCTTAACTTCTTATATCTTTCTTCATTACCTATGATGACATACTGTGTTTACTACTCCCACTCGCCTGCAGCTACCATCTTTTTC